TCAAAACCAATAGCTTATTGCTTTGCACATAAAGCAATTTTTCCTTACAAATATGGCGTTCCATAAAATGTCTGCTACGTACACAAATTAATAACGCAAATCACTTTCTCCCTACCACATTTTCTCAACTTTCATCCTCAACCATCCACAGATATGCAGAACCATGTCCCATCTTATCAATTTAAGCTGTCAGCTTCAAATCAGAAACAGTAATTCATTAACAGAAGCTTCTAGAGGACCTATCACAATGATGTCAGAATTAGAGGTAGCGAGTAATACTGTAGACAGTAACAACTAGCTTTCTTTTGTACTTGACAGAATGAAATGGGGAAGTGCAGAGGTGTCAATCTCTCCCAGTAAAACTTTCTATTTTAAAGTAATATAGTTCAACTGAGCAGACCCTGAGACAAAATGAAAGTCACAAAAATGAAACTTGGAAAAGAACAAACAAAAAATTTTTCCAGGGGTAAAAAACGCCGAACAACAACCAAAACAAACCAACCCAAAACCAAGCTTGGGGAAAAGGGACACCAGCCTCTTTCTCACTCTTCGTCCTATATTTTGCAACGTTCACAAACTGAGGAAGCAGACCACAGAAACGCAGCCCCAACAGAAGAGCAACTGGAGTGAATACAGTGAAAAGAGCAAAAGGTCTCCTGACTGCTAGAAAATGCTAAATCAAATTATCACAAGGCTCATCGGTATCATCACCCTTCCTTGCATCATGGCTATAGGGGATATCAGTATTAACCATAACCTGAGCAGACCAGGATCGTGTGAGTGAAACAGAGCATCCCCGTCACTTTTGTTCCAGCAGCGTCTGTCTGCACTATACTCATAGAACAAAACTATTCTACTCTGAGGGTTTCTGCACACATGAATTTACACAAACGTTACTGGATTCAAATTATTTTTTTCTGAAAAACTTGATTTGTTATCAGTGTTTTATCTGGAACCGATTAAAACAAACCCAAGTTATTAAAGAAACTGAAAAGATGTACTTACGCTAAATGCTATTTGTGCTAGGGTTCACCCCCATTTAAATTCATATAACGGGTCTTCAGTTGAAAGGGAGAAACCTTCACATGTAGACAAACTAACAGCAAATCAGTCCTCTGCATCATCTAGCTTTCTAGTATGGCATTCTTTTATAGTTTACCTTTATGAGATTACTAATCTTCTGAATTACTTTCTCAATAAATATCTAAGGAATTAAAGTCTCCTGAGATAGTTATAAGTTGCCATCCAAATTAACTGTGGCTTCCATAACCTATTACCTATTTCCTAGCTCTCTGTAGTGCAGGCAGGCATACAACTGGGCACCACTCAGTAAGCCCAGCAGATGTGCAAAAGTGCAGTTGTTCTTGGTCATTTATGTTCTAGGGCAAGAACAATGCAATCTGGGGCAACACAGCCTGGAAAAGTGCAGGAGTCACAAACAGGACAGATGGCACACAAAACTGATATGAACACCAGGTTTTGGGAGGAAAGTAGACACGCGGCTTTTTGGGAAGGATGAGGGGTAAAAAAAGAACTAGCAAAGTGGACTACTTGTAATCCTGGGAAGTTCTGTTTATTTCATCCCCACTTCCTCACCAAAACACGAGCTCCTCCTCCAAAGATGAGCTGCGTGACTTTTTTTAACGACTAGGATAGAACAACGAATTTTAAATAAATAAATAAATAAACAAACAAGGCAGATAAGTTTCTCCAGCGCTGCAGAATAAAGCTGCACTAGTTCTGCCTCCCCCGCAACGAGCGGCCGAGAAACTGCTACCGCTCGGCGGCTTTTTTTTTTTTTTTTTTTTTTTTTTCCCTCGGTG